CTACATGACACAGAACACAACTGTAATGAAACGAAATTCTTCCAGTAATATGTGGTCTTTTAATAGCAGATTTTTCTTCCCAGTGATAATTATGGATCATTGCCAAATAAAGCCAGAAGGCCGCAAAGCCTCCTAAACCAAGAAGCCCCGTCCCTCACCAGCTACTCTACAGGGCAGCCTGCTCCCGGCCAGGCCGATTCTCCCACGGTGCCGTTCTCGGGCTGTTTACCTCCTCCAACCTCACACTGTAAAGCACGGAGTCCACAGGAGCGGGGCAGACGGGAAGTGTCCTCGCCATCGGGATGCAGACCGTGGAGGACGGCCCGTCACTTCAGCCAGATCCACTTGTCACCCACGTCCGCGTTGTACCCGGGGCAGTACTTGCGGCCGGGCAGCTGTGGGAGGGAAGGCCATGGTCACAAGGGTTCACAAGGCACTCGAGGCCCCAGCTCGCTGCAGCAGGGGCTCAACGGCATGTCCTGCTGCGAGTGTGAGCGCCCCGCGGGAATAGAGCCCTGCTGGCCCACGTGCGCCCACAACATGCAGCTGCCTGGGGTGGCCTCTGGCCTGGGAGGCAGCACGTCTGTTCTCAGGCTTTGAGGGTCATGATTGGAAAAACCCACTCACACCTGCAGAGAGCGCTGCTCTCAGCAGTGTTCTGGCTGGAAGAGCAAACTGGGGAGAACTCAGGTGAGTTCACGACGGGGCCCTCCGCCCTCTCTGGGGCAGGTTATGGAAGCGGACAAAGGAGGGCGGTGGACACCAGGCCCCAGCTAAGTGGGAGCTCCCAGGGGCGGGGGGAGGAAGCGGACCGGACCCAGGAGGGCTGTCTGTCGGGGCGGCAATGGGACTGGGAGGACAGAGGTCTCCTGCCGGCCCTCCCACGGGGCCCAGAGACACCACGCCACGCGGCCACAGGCCCACTCCCACAGGCAAAGGCGTCTGCGGCAAGAGCCAGGGGCCGTGGGCTCTGGTGGCCACAGTGCGGGGCAGGCCTGCGACGGAGCTGCGCACGGCCAGGGAAACACTCGAGCACCCTGTTTTGCCAAGTTACATGAGTGGGAACAAAATATTGAATTTACTTCTTCATGTTTTCAAATCAATGTGGATAAACAGATTTGTACATACTACATACAAAAATCTTCCACATTTTGCCCTTAAGTACTAAAGTATTTAAAAAACCAAATCAGTCTCCCCTTCACCTACTCAGCAAGGCAGCCAAGCGCAGCCACGGCAAGGGGAGTCCGGGGCTCCGCACGCCACCGCCAACACCGGACGGAGCTCCGACGACTGGCCGGCTTGAGGCCCCGCACCCACGCCCTCTCTCCAGTGCCGTCACGCAGGTGTGCAGGGGGATTCTGTAGCCCGCAGCGGAGGTTGGGCTGCCGGGGGCTGGCGGGGGGCTGAGCCTGTGCATTTCAGAGCGGGGGCTCTGCTTTTCGGGCCCGGGAGACCCTGTTAATGGGGCCATCCACGTGCCAGGAGCATTCTGGGAATCCAAAAGGAAGACAAAAGACGAGACCCAGCTCCCCAGGACCCCAGAGTCTTGGGGAGAGACTGGCAAGGGGGCAGGCCTCACAGCCCCACGGCCACGGCAGCACCGCAGGAGCCCAGCGGGGGGCGTGTGCGTGCAGCTGCCCGGAGAGAGGGGGGCACTCGGGGGGGGGCAGGCGCCCAGTTTGCTGTGCAGGCTACGGGACACGGCGAGTGTTAGGAAGATGTCAGTTTTTCCGCTCTCTGATCGCAACAAGCGCTTGGGCGTAAGATGGGTGCAGCCGCCGCAGCACGCCCGGGCGAGGGCCACAGGGACTAACACCGTGTCTGGCTTCCTCGGGCCCCGGGAAGCCCTGCGTACCAGAGGAGCAGGCGGAGGGCAGGTGGTGGCCCCAGGGAAGGTGAGCGCCCAGCCTGACCGCGGACACTGCGTGGAGAAGGTGAGGGGCAGTGGGAAAGCTGGGTCTGAGGCTGCAGAGGCAGGGCTGCGCTGAGGATCCATGGGTACGCCGCCAGCACCCAGCAGCCCGGACAGAGGGGACGCCACCCCAACTGATGAGGGTGCCCAGGGAAGAGCGCAGGGAAGATGCATGGAGACACTGACCTGTGGATGAAGAGGGTCTGGGCAGGGACGGGGCAGCTCGGGGAAGCTGAGACTATGACAACGACTAACAGCACATGTCCGTGCACACAGAGTGGGGGTGACAGAGTCCCTGTGCCAAGGAGGGCAGACTGTGTCAGGCAGAACAATGCCCCAACCCCCAGATCCTGTGCCTACAAGACCTCACACGGCACAGGGGGCTTTGCGGAGCACATGGATTGTCCACAGGGGCCCAGGGTCGGCACAAGGGGCCCAAGAGAAGGTCAGACCAGAGGAGGAGATGGGGCCACGGAAGCAGAGGCCAGGTGATGGGGCCACGAACCACAGGGTGCAGGCACCTCCAGAAGCTGGAAGTGGGCAGGAAACAGACCCTCCCCTCAAGTGTCCACGAGGAACACAGCCCTGCCAACACCCTGATCTCCTACTCCCGACCTCCGGAGCCCTGAGACAACACAGGTAAGCAGCTTCCCAGGACACACACATGGATGCTCTGCCCTTCGTGATGGAGACGCTGGGGCACTTCTGTTCACACTAGGGGGCACGCTGATGGAGAGGCCCCGGCCGCGGGAGACAGTGGGCAACCCGCTGAGAACAGGGTAAGGAGGGAGGGCAGGCCGGAGCGCCCTGGGCTCGCGCCCCCCGCCCCCGCCCGGGGCCCCCATCCAGGAACACCCAGCCAACGGCCGCCACGGCACAGCAGCCCCAGCAGGAAAGAGCAGTGTGGCTTTGCAGCGTCCCCACAGTGGCCCACCAGAAAGGGACTTCTCTTCCTGAAGGACCACCCCCAGCACTGTGTGCAGGGAACAGAGCGCTGACCTGTCAGGGGAAGAGCTCAGGAAGGCTCTCAAACGTCACCCACGCCTGTGGCGAGCCGCTCGACGGCAGCAGTCCCCAGCCTCCATCAGCGGAGCCCCCGGGGCTCGGAGGTGCCCCAGAGCGCAGCCGAGAGGAAGGGCCAGCATGCGGCAGCAGCGGGGCTCTGCTCGCGTCTTGGCAGGGCGGATGTTAAGCCACCGAGCAACTGAAGGCAGGCAGACCAGCAGCAGCTGCGCACGACCCCACACACCTGCTCCCAGGACCGCTCGGGCCGGCGGTTCGCGGGCCTCTGATTTCCAGATCCTCAGGGTCCCTTTCCAGCACGTTTAAGCTAACAGGGACCCCAGGGAGGGTTTCCGTTTGGAACATTTCACACCGAGGGAAGGCAAAAATAAGCTTTTTCTTTTCCGTTACTTCCTATCCGCATCTGCTCATTTAAATAAACCTGCAAACCACCAAAACCCAGTTCACACCTGTCACGTGAGAGAACATGCCTGCGATATCCTGAGAAGAGAGTGTGTCGCCACCTTCCCACTCAGGAACCATCCCTCCCCGCACACCTGCCTGCAGGTGCACTGCTGGGGAAAAGGGCCGTCAGCCCGCCCCGTACCTCCTACTCTTCCTCCTTCCCTCCACCAGTTCCCCAGAAGGTGGATGCCGGCCGCCCACACAGACAAGGGCCACCCCCGGTGAGCGCGGCGCTAGCTGGGGGAGCTCTGTGGGACGGGGCTGCCAGGTGCCTCCAGGGCACGGGCCTCCAGCCTTGTGCAGGAGAAATAACCACCTAGTTTATTCAAGCCACAAATATTCTAGCTTGTGTTTTTTGGTTCTCCCAGCTGAACTTACTTCTAATCTTAATTTTTTCCTTCTTGCACAGGAAAATATTTCAGAAGAAATTCTGACTAGTGGAAGGCCCCCTCTTCACTACCTACAGGTTTTCATTCAAAAGCTCTGTGAAGATATTACATCAACGGTTACTTATGAAGTGTTTAGAGGAGAAGCAGGGGAGTGGGGGAGGGGGAGGATGGGGAGGAAGGAGGAGGAGGGGTGGGGAAGAGGGGGAAGGAGAAAGGGGGGGGAAGGAAGGGGGAGGAGCAGGAGGAGGGAGGACAGGGACGGGAAGAAGGAGGAGGAGGAGGGGTGCACACACTGAAGTGGCCTGGGCGTGGCTGCAGGCACACAGGGAAGGGAGGAAGGAGGACGACCAAGGCCATCCAGCTCCCTGTCCGAAGTCCCACATGGCACACAGCACCCGAGGACAACGGCGCCAGACATCTGACTTGGCGGCACCGTGCCCAGTCTAATACTTTCAGGAGGCTGTCTCCCCACCTTCCCCATTTTCCATTAAAAGTCGAAGAGTGAGTTTACTAAAGAGAAAAACTGCAAACCGCAAAGATGCATATTCAAAGCTCTCGTCCAGGGGGTGGCCAAGCTGCCCTGTGCCCAAAATGGTGGTGAGCTGGCCCACCTGGGGCTCTTCGTGCTGAGTGGGCCCCACGCCCCATGAGCCCAGCAGTCTGCGCCAGGGGGCCGCCCAGAGAGGCCACTGCTCTCCTGGAGGGGCATGAGGTTGGGCTTCCCCCCGGGGTCCCCCTGCGCGGACCCCCTGATGGTTGTGGGGGAGGCATGCAGCCCCGCAGCCCAGAGACCAGGAGCCTGGATGCACAGCAGCTTGCTCCCCAGGGTCAAGTCTCCTCCTGCTGGCACAGGACAGACGAAAAGAGTCAGGGCACCACAGTGTTTGCAAAAGCATTCCCAATTTCCCCAGATTATTTAATTGTGCAAAATCTGTGTGTCAAAGGTCATGCCTAATTTCAACTAACATTTACAACTGTGGAAACTGTGATATCCCTGACCCTCCTGGTAAGTAGCACGCGACAGCTTCCTGGGCACGCCCCAGCCATGCACGCACACGCACGCACACACACACACTGCTGGCCCGCCACCCCTGGGAGGGTACATGCAGAAGGAACTTCTCGCAGGGCTGCCTCGCAGGGGCCAGGGGCTGGGGGACAAGGAAGGTCAGTTAGTGCTAATTGCATGCTCTTCAGACGTTTGGTATTTTCTAGCACACGGAGTTCTTTCTTTCTTTCTTTTTTTCCACAAAAGAAAGGCTGAGTAGCTTGTCCAGGTCAACAGCTAGAATGTCCATGGAGCTGGACTGCAAACCCATGTCCTCCGGCTCTGAGTCCGCCCCGACCCTCTAGGCCACCAGCCCCTCTGGCCCATGCACGCACCTGTGGGCCCATCACCACCCAAGTGGCCAACCCCTGCTCTGAGCGCTCCTGATGAGAAATAACCCTTCGATGTGCCCCTCCAGATTTATGTGCTTAAGGTGAACTTGTAGAACTGGAACTGCTTACTTAAGGAGAAAATAAACAACAGATGCTGACACAGCAATCAGAATGGGTTTTAATTTAATATGCACAAGACCCTGGTCCAGATGATGACGCTCCGCTCACACTGTGTGGGTGAGTCAGGGCTCCCACATTCCCTTGTTATTTACTGCCTAGTGCAGGGTAGGCAAACTACGGCCCGCAGACCAAATCCGGCTGACAACTGTTCTGTACAAACAAGTTCGCCAGGGCTCGTCCCGCCGCTTGCTTGCACTCCGCCCGGGCAGAACTGCGTCCTTGTGACGGAGGGGGCGGGGCCTGCAAAGCTCAGCTATTTATTCTCTGGCTCATCTTAAAAAACCATGCTGTCCGCTGCCCTAAGAGAAAGTGACCACGGCGACGAGGGGACCAGGGGACAAGTGAGCCAGGCAGCTCCAGGGGAGGCTTCAGAGGCGGCAGAAACAGGTACCTTTTGTATGCAAAGGTGGTACAAGCCGGGCTGGGATCTGTGCTGTGAGGAGGTGACACTCGAGGCTGCTCCCAGCCGCCTCGCTCTCGCACACAGCGGGGACGCTCCACAGAGCTTCCCATGCCGGGGGCTTGGACAGACCCAGCTGAGAGTACATTACACACATTCACTCATTCTCCTGGGCAAAAACTCTGAGTTCCTCTACCCATGAAGCCCACCGTGTCCTAGTGGTCTTGAGGGGCACGGATAAATCCCATTTTCTCTAACCTCATGAAATACAGAGTATGTAAAGCTAGTCAGAAAGCGGAGGCGCTGGAGGAGGGAGAAACCGGGCCTGACCCACAGGACCAGAGGCTTCAGGTACAGACAGGACGTGGTCAGCGGAGAGGAGGAAACGGCTTAGAGGGCAGGCCGGGCAGTGAGGGCGACAAGACAGTGCAGAGCACGGCCTGCAGGAGCAGCCGCACTGACCGCAGCCCACCTGGACCCCAGCAGCCCTGGCTGCAGCTCTGCTGCTGGGGACGGGCCACGTGAGGGCCACCCGACCAACCCACGCCACGTACCGGCCACAGCTTCCCCGACCACGGACACTGGACAAACAGGTCAGGCTAGCTAGCATCCGTGGGCGGAGAGCTAGAGGGCCGTGGGCAGAAAAGGAGGCCTGTCAAACTGACGGGGACGCACCTGGTCTGTGGCTGCACACGACCCTGCACGTGTCGGGTGATGTCACGGAGGCGGGCAGAGGACCCTAGAGGAAAGAGCATTCCTGGGGGCTGCTGAGTGCTCCCCTAGGGCTGAGGGACTGAGCTCCCAGCAGCCAGGGCTCACCGCACACCCGGGTACCAGGCTAACCCTTCCCTACAAGTCAGGCTGCCCAAGACTCACCAGAAAGCTAAGATACCAGGCGCCAAAGGCTTAAGCTGATTTCCATGTATCTTAGCTGCCTGCCAGAGTACACACTCTAATGCTCCTCAAAGGAACGAAACAAGATCAAGTACACAAAAACAGAGACCTCACAATGGACAGCGACCACTGTAAAGTCTCCAGCCCTGGAAAGAGAAAAATGTAACCCGTATCCAGGGGAGAAGAGATCAAGCCGACTCGGAGGTAACGAAGATGATGAATTAGAAAATAAGACCGCTGAGACAGCTATTATAAAAAGATTCAGTATGCTCAGGGAATTAAGTGAAAAGTGAAACTAATAAGAAAACCAGAGGGCGCCTGGGTGGCTCAGTCGGTTGGGCGACTGCCTTCGGCTCGGGTCGTGATCCTGGAGTCCCAGGATCAAGTCCCGCATCGGGCTCCCTGCTCGGCAGGGGGTCTGCTTCTCCCTCTGACCCTCCCCCTTCTCATGCTCTCTCTCATTCTCTCTCTCAAATAAATAAATAAAATCTTTAAAAAAAAAAAAAAGAAAGAAAAGAAAACCAGAAAACATAAAAAGAAACAAAACTTCTAAAGTTAAAAACAAAAAACAAAAAACAAGACTTCTGAAATAAAATGCCACCGGATGGGTGTGGCAGCCACAGCAGTATGCAGCTGACCTGCCCAGAGCACCTGCTCTGCCCGTGTCCACCCCCGGGCACGCTGGGCCACGCCCCACGGAAGGCACCCGCCTGCAGGACACGGGACCCCGCCGGCCCGGGGCCACCCCACCAGCCTGGCCACATCCACCTGCACCGCTGCTATGCCATGCTGCCTCCCTCCCTCTCCTGTCCCAGACGTCACACGGCGCCGAGGACTACGGGCTCCCCTGCACCTCACATCTCTCCCCTTGACCCTTCACAGGTGTTTCCCCAAAGTCTCCTCAACATCTGACCCTATCTCAGCTGCCTTTCTTGGAGGACCCAAACACAATGGAACTAATAGCACATTATATAAACACGAGAAAACATCTGTGAACTTGAAGACAGGACAACAGAAACTATTCAAGAGAAAAGAGAGAGACGACGAAAAGGCCAAAAACAAACGGATGGAGTCTCAGTGACCTGTGGCTCATGAACTATCAAGAGTCCCCAGAAGGGAAAAAGAAACAACACCTGGAGAAATCATGACTAAACATGTTACAAACAATATGGAAATGATGGACTGCTCACACCGGAGACGCTCCGTGAACCCCAAGCAGGAGAAGCACAAAGAAAACCACCCGGAAGCATGTGGTCACCAGGTGGCGGGGAAGTAGTGATAAAGAGATGGAGAGAGAGTCTCAAAAGCAGCCAGAGAGAACAGGTCCCTCTGGCACAAGGATGGCACACAGCAGGACTTCACGCCTGTCCACAGAAGCCGTGCGGCCAGGGGTCCGGGGGGTCTCAGGGTGTCGGAGGAAATGAGCGGCCAACTCAGAAGTCTACACTGGGTAACGCCATCTCCGAAAACCAACCGAAGTACGGGTATCTTCGTCGAGCAAGAGCTAACGATGCGTTGCCGGCAGACCCAGGCGGTGGGAGCAGCTACCACAGGGGGTGACTCGGGCCCCCCGAGAGCCGCCACACGGAGGCCTGGGCCTGCACAGACAGCGCACCACACAGCACAGCTATGAGCCAGGGCGAAAGGTCACAAAAACACCTTAGCTCGTTTTAAAGGTAACTGACCGTGGCACAGGCCAGGGGAGCTGGACAGAAGTCAGCCTGCCGTGCGTGGGCTGGCGGGATGTGGCTGGCTGCGCGTGAGCAGACCCTGGTGAGGGACAGGCACGCGCTGTCAGCCCAGACCAGTCGTGAACGGTGAAACCAAAAGGTGCAGTTAATGAGTCAGCAGCAGAAATAAAACAGAAGAAGATGATCAATTAAGCCAAAAGAAGCCAGGAAAAGAGAAAAGATGTAAATCTGAACCTCACTTGCTACAGGGTTGAAGTGTGAGGTGAGAAACAGCAGGTCCCCCGCTCGAGGAGCCCTCGCCCCTACCCAGGGAAGCCCCGCTCCCAGGGCCAGAGGGCAGGGGCAAAGGCCGCCGAGCCACTCGCTCCCGCACGGCCCCCTCGGGCCAGTGCTCTGGGTCTTGCCGAGACGGCCGCCGGCTCTCGCAGCCCCGCTCACTAGCCAGCTCCGTCCTCTGCGGAGACGTGCGGCAAAAACCGCCGCCTGGTCAGAAATCGCGCCGGGGAAGAGCGTCCGGGGAGTCCTAGGACAGGCGGCAGGATGCCCTCAGGAAACAGCCCTCAGGGGGCAGCCAGCCCCTGCGCTGGCACAGACCCCCCCATTGGCTGAGCAGCGGGTTCTCAAGCTTCCCCAGGCAGTCCTCCCTGAGCGAGCAGGTGACCGGCTATTCCAGCCTCTGCCTCGTCTTCGCCCCTTGCTCTTCTGGGGACGCTTCCCATGGCCAGTTCTTCCTGCCCAGCTCCTGCCGCTTCCTCCAGGAGCCCCCTGACGCTGACAGGGTGACTGTCCTCTCTTCCCTCGTCTCTCCTCTCGGTGCCCAGTGCAGTCACTTGCCTGCTTGTCAGTGAGAGCGGGCAGTCACCTAATCCCACCACCAGCCCCGCCTCACACGCGCAGGCGCCACGAGGGGCAGGTGGGTGCTGTCTCCCCTTGCAAAGATGTCAAGTGACCTGCCCGTGCCACCTAGCTGCAGGCGGCAGGCTGGACCCTCAAGTCTCAAGCCCAGGAATATCTTCCACAACACCGTACACAGAGTGAATGAAACCGCAATACCTAGTGTGCGATACCTTTGGAAAATGACGTAAAAGCTTTGTCCGTCTCACCCGCACGCTGCCTTCATTTTTACTGAATTCCATTCCTTCCCCCCAATGTTCCATTTGCCCCCCAGTCCGTCCGTCTGGAGCTCTGCTCTCCAGTTTCTAGCTGTGAGGCGCCTGGTGTGTTCAGGGCCCGGCCCCCACTCCACGCTGGCCTGGGGGGGGTGGGCCCTCAGGGTCTCCCACCCCATTTCAGGTTGACTGCAAAGTCCCGCTGGAGAACTTCTGGCTCCAGGCAGGTGTGTCAGGGCTGCTCACGGGAGCTCACCGTTCCTTAGCCGAGCTCTCCTGGAGAACTAAAATAGATGTGTTAATTCCAGCACCAAGTCCTTTGTTATGGGACTGTAAAAAGGTGAGTTTTTTAAAAAGGATCAAATGAAGCCCTTCCTGTTTTGGATCGGTTTCACCCCACTGGGAGTAGGAAGTGGGCTGTATCAGGTACAACAGACTCTGCTCTCTCCAGATGCTCTGAGGAGCGCAAACGGCTAAGAAAGTCTGGAGTGACTTGGGGATTCCAACTTCCAACTTCTGTTAGCCATTATTGCATATAAATGATAATGAGCTCTAAGAATTTTTCATTAATTTTAAAGAACATTATAGAAATTTTTTAGTAAAGTCACTTCTATGATATACAATTTCCCCAATTTTCCATTATTGCTAAGCATAAATCAAGTCTAAAAACTCTGAAATCAACCCCCCAATCTTGTCTTATCAAAGACAGTTTTCAAAAGCCCTCTTTTTAAGAATAAGTGTCTTCTATTTTTAGCACAAACACCATGGTCTGTTACAAATACATCCATATTTAGCTGCCAAATCCATTGCCATACGAATCACAGTATCGTACACATTTTAAATGACTCGTATTAGCTGTGAGTGGAAAAGCTAACTCAAGCCCTTGTTTAAATACCTGAACAGTACTCTTTCTAGAAATTCTCAAACAGAAGAACTGAGGGCACACACCGCAAAACGTGGGCACCCACCACAAAACGTGGGCACCCGTGGTTTGTCAGGTCGTTTGCGAGGACGTCACCCTGTGACTTGGCACGAGCAGAGCCCCAGACAGCACGTGATAATCTGCAGCCACACTCGGCCCAGGGCACCCGGTGAGAAGTCCGTGTCTCACACTGACTTTCCTGCCCAGGGGACGCAGGTTGTCTTCCACACGCAGGAAGCTAAACAACGGGGAGCGCGGACCGACGAGTCTCAGTCCCGCGCGCCACGAAGAGCTGCAGAAGCAGCGCACACGAGCGTGTCCTCCGGCCCCGCGAGTGAAGGGCAACTGCAGACGCCACACACGTCCCCTCACACTCGACTGAACGACTTCTAAACGGAGAGTCCATAACTTAACACAAAAAGCAGGTACCAAATTAAGTCCTGAGGCCTGAACGTCAAGGGGAATCTAGGAAGCTTTCTCCGTCAGCAGGTTGAGGTCAGCTGGCCCCGAGGCGTCCCGTCCACTGCAAGTCTGTCTTTATCCAAGCGAACCCCCCAGAGGCAAGAGCACACGGCGTTAACATATTCCAGCTACGAAGCATCGCTATTCTAGACAACGCTAACTTGGTGCTGAGACAAAAACAACTTGAGACAGTAAAGAAATAAGAATAGCAGGAGAGAAAGCGAAGACGCTGCTGTCCTGGCAACTGTCTCGGACACAATCGGATTTGTGGAGGGAGCTCAGTATCTTAACAGCATCTGGCCTCCCTAAATTGAAGACACCGAATCGCTAAA